CTAGGTCCGGGTTACAAATTAGGGTATCATCAAAAAAAATCTGTCTTTGTTTTTATGCCTAGCAACAGAATACAAACCATCAACATCTTCGTGTCTCACTTATCAGTTCTAAACCTCGGATCTAACGTTGATTGGAAAAGGTAGTAAGTGTTCAAAATACTTGAATGCCAGTGGAAAGTTTTTGTCCTTTAGCGGAAAGTCATTTATGTGTTGAGAAATATAATTGGCAAAGTACTAATAATTATTGTCCATTATTAGTACCAATTTTATTCGTTGGCTTTTAATTGGGCGTCTGCTAACTATTTTATTACCATTACAATTGACTTTTCCAACTCTATCTAAGATCCCATACATCATCAATGATTTATTAAAATAGGCGCATAATCAAAGGCATGAACTCCAACAGTTCTTTTTATAAATATTTTCAACGGTACCAGAGTAACACTAGGTCTAACTGAACGCGGAGGTTCCTTATTTTTTCGGTTTTTCTTAGATTATGAAGTTTCACGATTTCTTTATTTTGATTTGGATACCAGAATGTCAACGATCGTCCTTGGAACTGAAAAATAGATTGATCAGTACTCCAATTTCAGCGAGCTGTTTCATCCGAAGTTGAATACTAACAAACAAGTAATCGAATATTTTAGTAAAATTATTGGAAAGTATGGAAAGATAGAGAGAAATCATTATGTCAGCAGAAAAAAGCTTCTGTCAATATTTAGATCCATCACCACAACTTTGGACTGAAGTTTAGTTAGAGCAGACCATTTTGCCTTGCAATGGACGCTTTATTTTAAGAATCTCGAAGGTGCAAAAGCGCATTGGTTGGAAAAATTACATAGTTACGACCCCCAACTCAAACATCGCAAAAAGTCATACCATCAGCTATCACGGATAACATGTATTGACAACTCTTTTCATTTTTGCCAAAGGTAAAAGGAGCTGCCAAAATTTCCGGTCGGTTGTGTTCAACATAGTATGAGGACCAACTACGACAAATTGTGACGAAGAAATTACCAAAGAAGACTTCGAAAAAGATCAAAAAAGTGTAGTCAAATTAGCAGATTTTGGAGAGTAAGGTGGAACAAATTGAAGACAAATGTTTAATGATGGAAATTTGAAGAGACAGATGTCCTAAATTATATACTAAAAGTCCCATCCAATCTGATAATGGCAAGTTTTGAAAAATCGACACCATTGTGAAATGAAGTTTTTGCATTTATTTCCAAAACATCCGGGTTTTTTGACAACTTTCAAGTTAGGTAGGTACATTTTTTAAATGTATTTTTTTGATTTTTTTTTTAATATTTGATTTGCAATTATGTTATCCAAAAAATCCATGCCATATTGTTTAACACGTTGGAGGACAGTGAACATTTTTGTAAGATACCAATTTATGCAAACGCTGGACGGCGTTCTGCTTCTATTTGTGGAGGGGGACTGCGAATGTTGATGAATGTCAAATGTGTGACACTACGGCACTGATATTCGAACGTATTGTGACAGTGATAATTGGATTCACATTAAATTGTAGATATAAACGCTGAAGGGCGTCGTGTCATTTTCAACTATCAATATGAAGACGCATATCAGCGTTGTGTCACATTACAACTTCAGGAAATGACGCTGATCTGCGTCTCTGTCCTTCAAGACGCTGACATGACTATAAATCATAAATCGGTCAATAAATAAATGCCTATATACCAATAGGTACGATAATATTACAACAAATGGGAATCTCTTTGACAAAATTTATTAAAAACAAAAACGAACGAGTCTACTAGTCTTTTTCATTTGCAAAAATGGGATTCGTTGTTCGGTTTTTGATTCTCAAATATTTCTGTTGAATGTTTTCTCAATCTCAATAATCTCTGGTGAATTTATTGGTGTGGTTTCTCATTCTCAAAGATGTTTGCTGAGTTGGTTGGCATTCTTGAGAATCTGTTATTAGTTTTTCATTCCGAAAAATTTCTGTTGAATCTGTCGTAGTGACATTCGCAAAGAATAAAAATTTCTGTTGTATCTGGCTAGTTTGTTTTTCATGCGCAATAAAAAGCTGATAAGCTGTTCTTCATTTTTACAGAATTCTGTAGAATGTTTCTCATTCTCAAGAATCTTTGGTAGATTTGTTGTTTGGTTTGTGATTCTCAAAAATTTGGGTTGCATGTTTTCTCATTCTTAAGAATCTCCGGTGAATTTATTGATGTGGTTTCTAATTGTCAAAGATGTCTGTTTTGATCATCGTTCTTCAGAATCTGTTATTAGTTTTTCATTATTTCATTCTGAAGAATCTCTGTTGAATCTGTCGTAGTTCCCCATTCCCAAAGAATAAAAATCTCTGTTGAATCTAAATAGTTTGTTTTAAAATTGCAAAAATATCTGGTGAGCTGTTTTTCATTTTTAGAGATTTCTGTTGGATGTTCCTCATTTTCAAGAATCTTTGGTAAATCTGTTGTTTGATTTCTGATTTTCAAATATTTCGCTGAATATTTTCTAATTCTCAAGAATTTCTGGTGAATTTATTGCGTGGTTTCTCATTCTCAAAGATATTTCTGTTGAATTGGTTGTCATTCTTTGAGAATTCGTCATTAGTTTCTCATTCTGAAGACTCTCTGTTGAATTTGTCGTAGTTCCCAATCTCAAAGAATGAAAATCCCTGTTGAATCTGGCTAGTTTGTTTTTTATTTGCAAAAATATTTCTTGAGCAGTTTTTCATTCTCGAGGATCTCTATTGGATGTTTCTCACTTTCTCATTTTCAAGAATCTTCGGTAGATTTGTTGTTTGTTTCTGTTTTTCAGATATTTCGGTTGAATGTTTTTTCATTTCCAAGAATTTCTGGTGAATTTATGGTGTGGTTTCTCATCCTTAAAAATTTCTGTTGAGTTGGTTGTCATTCTTGAGTATCTGTATTGTAGTTTTTCAATCTAAAGAATCGTTGGATCTGCTAGCTGTTTCCCATTCGCAAAAGTATGGCTCTCTTGCGCATATTACTTTCAACTTCTGATAGATAATGCAATCTGACGAAAAAAAAAAATTGGCTAGTTATTCGTCAACAAATCGATTTATATGCGGTCCAACATAATTAATTCAAGTTACAATAGCTTTGAAGTGAACAAACCCAACTGAAAAACAACACATATATGAAGAAGAAGAATGATTGAACATTTATGTTTTTGTTTTTGAAAAACGTTTGTTTTTGTTATTTTTATTAAAACTATCAGATATATGTGATATGGGTCAACACTTAATGTAGGTAATTTTTCATTTCCCATAAAAAATGTATTTATATTGACAATTTATCAAAAAATTCATACTTTTTAAGATGTACAAAAATATCAACAAAATGGCGGCCATTTTTTTAGACTTGCAATAATTGTAATATTTAATGGAACTTTTAGTATGTCATTAATGACCATAACAACAATACATTTTCGTAGAAAAACCCTGGTCTTTAAATTGTTCCACCCCAACTGCCAATTTGACTACACTAAAATGCTCACATAGGGGGTGATACGTGGCTGACTAGAAAATTCACAAGGCTTTAATGACAAGTAATCTCCAGTTTTGGCCAAAAGGTGAAGGAGTACTGGCTTCAATGGGATTTTTTGTGCTATATTAATTAATTGTCAACGGTAGTACATCAGACCATTGTGCTACAGACTATGGTCACAGCATAAACAAATACAATCAGCAGGCTCGAGCTTTGTATCCCAAAATGGCGGCATGCGCTGATAAGATGCGCGTTAAATCTCAAGCTTCTGCCTTTAATCCTAGACTGTATCCTCGAATGACGGCGTGCGCAGAAAAGATGCGCGTGAGAGTTAACCTGCTGATTGTTTTTGTATATGCTATGGTGGATAGAGTGCTGTGGACCGTACTCGGTGTGGGGGCCACTTTAGAGTCGCCAAAACGTTTGGTCGATATTACTGGATTTACATAGAGATGTCGAGGTATTTGACAAGAGATGTGACATCTATGCTTCCAAGAAAGGACCCAAGACGCGATGTCGAGGAGAAACGAAGTAATACTAGACTGGTTTCCCTGGGGAGAGAATTGCAGTAGATCCTTTGCCTATACAACGTAGTCTAAAAATAAGTACCTCATAGTTCTTATGGATTTTTTTTTCAAAGTCGCCGAAATAAGCGCCAATCCCCAATGAAAAAACCAATAAAAGTTGCATTACTGGAATACATCATTGCCATTGTTATATGTATATGTATGTTTGCATGCAAAATTTAATAGTTTCTATTACATAATTGCAGCCATGAAAAAACATACCAATCAGGAGAAGAAGTCTGGAAACAACTGCTGAGACTAGTGGTGATAACAAAAATACAGTTTCCGTTTTTCCAACCTAATGCAAATTGACATATTTATTTAGATACCATCATTTTTGTATACCTATGTAACAATTAATTTTTACCTTTCGCTCAAACAAAAAGGTTACAAACTGAGAATGACATTGATAAATGGCTTTTGAATATTTGTTGCAGTTTGCATAAGTTTTGTGATTTTGTTATTGTTAATTGTTTAATATTCCATTTCCAATAATTTTGGTAAATGTCTGGGCTGTAATGTCAAGCCCTGAAACATATGTCATGTGCTTTGAAGTGATATTGACAGCATTTACTTGACCCATGAAAATCTACTTATGCAGACAGGACCAGGCTACTAGACACATAAGCTTCAATGAGACCACTTGACTGATACCCATTTCACTCCAGGATCGTCACGGTTCCGGTGGACCATTGATCGTGACTGCAAGTTATTTAAATTCGTGCATCTTCGGCAGCTCGGCTATACCCGCTTCGATTCGCCTAAACCGGGTAGAAGCTAATTCGTCCTATGTGTTTAGTAGGTTGGTCCGGTCTGTATGTTGGGTGAATGCACATTTTCAGATATAGAGACCAAAGCTATCATTTACCTCTTAATCTACCAACTAATCGAATACCTACCTAAATTAAAAAGGAATTGCTTGATAAAAAAAAATCCAACTTACCACAAATCAGTGCAAGTCCGAACAGATCGGTGTCTAGCATCCCCTGTTGGGCAAAATGTCGGCATGTTTGCAGGTAAAGTTCGCGCACCCGAGACTTGGCCGTCGCCACGAAATAGAGGGTTTGTTGGTGGAGCAGGTGGAGGGCCAAGAAACGGGCCGAGGGGGGCAAAGCAGCAGCGGCGGGGGGTTTGCACGCGGCCAGGGGGGCGCTCACCGTGCACAGGCCGGCGCGCATCGCCCGCGCATCCTAAAGCAAGCCCGGGCCTGCGCCGACAGGCCACCCGCAAGGGCTTACCTGAAACAGAAAGAAAAAAATTAGTTCTCTAAACAATTTCTAAACCAATCCCCTTCATCATTGACCATTCAATGTTAATATACAGAACTTAGCCTAAATTATTAATCAACAATCCAACAACAACAACAAACCAAATAGGTTAATTTGATGACCATTTTCTTTGAACTCACTTCTTTCCTGGGCACGTTTTTTTTCAGATTTCCATTTTACAAAACTTAAAAATAGGACATTATGGATTTAGCTGCTCTTGCATTTTTGTTCGCAAGTCGCAAGTTATCGTTTTTGATAGAGAATCGAATTTGAACATAATCATAGATAATATCGTAGTGAGGGCATAAATTTCTAATGTTTCTGCGTAGATGCATGAATGACAATGCAATTACATTCCTATATTATAGTTTAGTTAGATCCTCATTTAGATCCTTCCTGAAGTATAATACTGTTCTATGATAACAATCTCATGCTTATCAGCCGGGCATTTAATTACAATATTCTCTTGATTGTTTAAAATAGATTTGTCGCTAAGCTGAAAAGGGGGTAAAGCATATAGTTACTCTGGAAAAAAAGAAATTCCTCTCAAATTCAAAATGGCGGACGACAACTGCGAGCGAAATTATGTGTGAAGCTTCTTGTTCAAGACAATAATATAATGAATGTATGATTTTTCTTCAAGTTTGTTCCAGCCCTTTCAAAACCCAGTGATTTTTTGCTTAATAAATTGACATAATTAGTATTTAAGGATGAAACAAACTCAAAAGCATTCCGAAACTGGTCGTCATCATCATTTGAACATGGCGCCCATGCATTTACAAAATGATGGTTATTATGGGACAATTTAAGAGTGCCCCGACCGTATAATCTCCAGGAACGAAATCACGTCTCGGAACAGTCTAATTCAAATAAATTAGTACGTAATGGTCACGCTAATAATGCTTGACTTTTTTTAAATTTCGGGGTCGGCTTCGCTATGTTGTCTCACATCTATCTACGTTCTGATGTCACACTTCGGTGATGGCGAGGTATTCGGATTTTTATTAATGAAAATTGGTGGCCTCCGTTGCTGCGGTTTCAAAGTTAATAACCCGTGCTGGATAATACCGAAGATAATTAAATTTTATTTGGAAAGCATCAAAACGCAGAAAAAAGTAATAATAATAAGGATGAATATAATATAACAATAATTCAAAATTGCTGGAGAAAATTAGCATATATTTTTTTTACATTTCACGTGAAGCCTCGTAATAATTTAGAGACGATTTGAAGTTGAAAATCATAATTTAAGTCTCGATTTTTTTTAGCTGTCTGGGATATACCAACAAGTCGAAGATGGCGACAAAAAGAAATCATGGATATTATCGGTACCTAATTTATATGAATTAGACATTTCCCAGACGTGAGATTGTTTTGAGATGGTGCGCTGCATACCATCATACCTAATTGCCCCATAATACCCATAATTTTCTAGAATGCATTGCCGCCAGACGATTTTATTGCTGGGCGTCGCATTGTCGGCCATTTGGTAAGGAATTTCTAAATTATTTTAATACATTTTTAACAATATGTAATTGCATGTATTGAACACAAAAAATAATTGAATGAAATGGACAATCTGCTACACAGCAAAATTATTATTATACCTTTTGTATTTTTCCATTTGAACATGCAATTATTTACGGTTCCCAAAAGACATAAATTAGCTTCACAAGACAACAGACGAAGTCGAAGGTTTTCTAAGCGTTTTTATACACATACAATACATTCTCATAAATATTGCCTTTTTTATTGTTGATCCACTTAAGGCCAAGCCACGCACGATGCTGGCACTGCCAATTTTTAGGACAATATCAAGTCGCTTGTATTTTATAGCTTTTCTTAGAGTAAGCACGCCCATGTTCACATCACCCAGTGATGGTGCCAGATCATGGGCTTTTTGTTAGCCGGATAGGTGAACTTTACTGCGTGGGTCGAAATAATTAAATTCGAAAAAAAAAGTGTTCTTTGTAATAGTGTCAAAGGCTTGGCCTTTGTGAAATAGTAGCGTTGCCCTATTGTGGCTTATTTGACAATGAATATCATTGCATTACGGATCAACACCACTAACAATTATTGTATGTTTTGTGGGTAAACATCAGTTCTTAACATGATAAATGGTGAATGATAATTGTTCACAAATTTATTCAGTAAATACATTTTTTTTTTCCAATTTCATTGCAAAAGAATGTACATTTTACCGAAACACTAACAAATTTGAAATTATTTTTATAAACCATTACAAAACAGTGCATTTCTAGCATATTTCTGATAATTATTTTACCAATTTGGTAAGCATATTGCTAAAAACGATTCTCCAAAAAAAAATACATTTAAGGCGAGACAGGAAACTATAAATATTTTTGTGGACTTTTGTTAGCATAATTTATGTCTCTTGAATTTTCTCACCTCTATGCTTAATAAACTAAATGTGGTATCTGCGTAGGCGGCCACCATGGAGCTGTGTCTTGTTGAATAAGTTTGCATATTTATAAAGAAACTTAAGATTTTTTTATTTTAAATAGCTCAATGAAAATTTAATGGGTTTTTTGAATCTGCATTCCATTACCATTCGTTTGACTCTCAATTGATTAATATTATGAAATATATTTGTGGATCCAAAAAAAAAACCTGTCAACTTGTTTTTCAAATGCGCCGGAGGATTTCGTGAAATGGTGAGATACCTACCAACATAAAGAAGTTACACCTGAGAAGTTTTTACCTTCGCCCAAAAAAATGCAGAGGAAGTCAGGGAAATTTGTGGAAACTCGAACATAGCAAATCAATAAGGAAATACAAAGAAGCAGGAGGATATTTGATATCGACAATATACCTGTAATCACCGAAGAGGAATTTTTATCACAGTCTCAAACGAGATGTTTAGTCCTCGAGGACTGTCCATTGAGTGAAATAAACCCTACAAACAATTTAAAATGTGATAATTTAAAAGACTGCATACCTGCTGTACTTAAAACCTCTCAAGAAAAATATACTGGGATGGATGCTAATAATGTACCTGGATCTCGAAGACTGCCTTGTAACCGAAATCAACATTAGTGAGTTGGACTGGGATTCCCTTTAAAGATGACTTTATTATCATAATACATGCGGATGATCCTAGTACAAGTCACACCCAACAAGACGTAAGTATTAGACATTTCGAATGCTTTGAATAGTTATCAAGTGACGAAGAAAATTAAAACAATAGTGATGCTTCATATAAACATGAACATCAAACAGTGATTCGGACACAAAAAGCGAAACAGATGTGACAAATAATACAATAGAGAACTAATTCATTGATGACGAAAATGTTGATGAAGGAAGAAAAAGAAAGTAGAAGACAGACGAAAAGGATTGTAAAGGAAGTCTTACGGAAAGGAAGTACCTACGAATGTGATTCCATCCTCACAAAAAACAATAAGATACCATATTTTATCATTCTAATATCACCATGTCAAGTTGCTTATTGCAATTCTTTCATTACAAACATAATTTTTATATTACATTAAGTTTAGTTACCCTAATAGTTAAATCATTGTCATTTTGTTTGTGATAAAATATAAAAATTGCGTTTTTGATTGAATAATTTTTTTTCCTCTAAATAGTTGGGATTGTATTCGCCATCGAGAAAATAGTACCATTTCCATATTATTTCACACCAATGCCTCATTAGTTCATGGAAATCGTACTAAAACCGGGTGTGCCTTGCATGAAATGAGGTAGTTCTGATTTTTTGATATGTTGTATCTGATGAAGTGGATATGACAAATCCAAGTTTTCGACCTCAAAAGCCCTTCCGGATCATTGTTAAATATTACTAAAACCGCTAAATTTCCCTTTTTTTAACTTTTTGTCAATTTTGTCCACCAAGGACTAACTTTACCGCAAAAGTCGGTATGTACAATTTTATAGTAAAGAAAATCGAGATTTATTTGGTCTTTTTAGGTGAAATAGTTTCTAAAATACAGCAATTTAAACTTTGTCTCGTTTTTTTCAAAATTTTGTTGACTTTAATATTGTACATAACGACTTTTGCCGTAACATTAGTCCTTGGTGGTCAAAATATAGAAAAAGTTAAAAAAAAGGTGAAAATTTAGAAGTTAATATTTAACAAAGATCCATCCGGAGGTCGAAAACTCGGATTTGTCACAACCACTTCATCAGATTCACCATATTAAAAAATCAGAACTACCTCATTTCATGCACGGTGAAAATGTAGGTACCAATTCCATGGACAACATTTTTTCTATGTATGGCTTCTTTTACACAGAAAGCCATGTATTCAGGTCAATCAGATGAAAGTGTTATCGTTTCTGTTTCAACAGGAGAACATATCCTAGAAAGTAATGATTATTCCAAAAGTTTCTTTTGAATAGCGTCCTCAGCCCAGCGACTTATAAGATGAACTTAAATCAGGTTTTGTTGTAATGAACAGATGAAGCACCAATCAGTTTCCTGTAAAGTGAATCTTGATCTAATACCTAATCCTTTGATGGTTTTACCAATGTAACGTTCAACGTTTTCAATATCATCAACACAATTCCAAAAGTCATAAAGCTTACAAAAACATGGATCTGAATTCTGAAACTGTGGACAGAAGATCCGAAGCACTTACCTAAAATGATATTTTTTCTATATCTTTTTATGTGTATGTATACCTTCTATATCCTAGTTTTCAACATTTCATTCAATTGCAGGAGAATCCATGGCCTCCTTTGGAAGTCACCTACACAATTCTTGGAAATACAACTTGAAGCGGAATCACGCACAAAATATCTAGAAAGGTACAGATAAAGCTGTAATGATTCCAAATGCAATCTACAATCTACATTCTATATCTGGATGACATCAATCTGTTCAATAACATTTCAAGGTTGATGGTTAAAGCAAGTACATACTTGTTTTGTGAAGTCATCTTATTTCCAATGACTTGGTCCCTTATCGATCGTTTGACTCATATCCAGGTG